ACTGACCTGGAACCCAACTGGAACTTGTCGTTTGAGAGCAGAATGGCATGGCTTGCATTTCACAAGTGAGGAAACTGAGATGAAGGACAGCCAGTCCCGGAGCAAGGCAAGGGACTGAGGCAGCACTAGGGGCAGGGGGCTGCCTGTCTTGCCTTGCTCTGGGACAGCTGGCTGCCTCGCCCACTACTCATGTGCAGCCCAGAGCTTTGTTTGTTTCTCACACATCCGGAAACACCCTGGAGCCCAGCTGATCTCCGGGGGAAGGAGTGATTTAAAGCAGAACCCAGGCTTGTAAACAGCTGCGGGTTTCTCAGAGGGCAGAAGGCGTTGAAAACTTTTGGTGGATTCAAGGGCTTTGATCAGACAAGGGAGGGAGCTGGACAGTCATGAGCATCTCCAGGCGCATTGCTGTTGCATCTGCACGTGAGGAAGCTGAGGCTCAGAGGAGGGATTTGAAACCCGGGCCCCGCAAGGCCAAGCCCTGGCCTTCACTCTGTGAGCTGCTGGTAAACCTCCCCGAGTGACCTTCCTTCCCACTCCGTCTGTGGGAGACGCAGGGAAATGAGTGGGGCAGCTGATGGCTGGTGCCCTGTTGTCTGGGGTGGGGAAGGGCTGCCTGCATAGGAGAGACCACCCACCACCACCTCCCAGGGCATCCCCCCGTCCAGTCTGGGGCTCTGCCCTTCCAGACTGCCCAGCTGCTCAGAACAGCCCTCGTTCTGCTCGGAAGGACTGGACTTGGGCTTGAACACTCAGACACTTGCCCCGCCCTGCCTTTGTCCGGCCTGACCACGCCCCTGCTCCACGGTTTCCTTGGCTCCATTCAGACCAGCCCCAGGCCCTTCCCTGAGATGTTTGTACTCCTCTCAAGAACACCCAGAGCTGGGCTCGGCCCCCGCTCCACGATAGAAACACCTAGTTTGTGGACGGTCTGCACAGTCTCACACCTCAGTTGCTTTGCTAAGACCCAGCCAGGCACTGAGTCCATCGAGGCTCAGTCCCCTGAGCCCACTGCAGGGGTAGAAGGGGTGCTGTCCTTTTAAAGACCCTCAAAGTAGAATGGCGGCTCAGCCTGCAGGAAAGAAACCTGGCTGGGCGCGGTGGCTCACGCCTGTAATCCCAGCACTTTGGGAGGCCGAGGCAGGTGGATCACGAGGTCGAGAGATCGAGACCATCCTGGTCAACATGGTGAAACCCCGTCTCTACTAAAAATACAAAAAATTAGCTGGGCATGGTGGCGCGTGCCTGTAATCCCAGCTACTCAGGAGGCTGAGGCAGGAGAATTGCCTGAACCCAGGAGGCGGAGGTTGCGGTGAGCCGAGATCGCACCATTGCACTCCAGCCTGGGTAACAAGAGCGAAACTCCGTCTCAAAAAAAAAAAAAAAAGAAAGAAAGAAACCTCTTTCGCAGAGTGTAACTCAGTGCTTCTCAAACTTACTTACCCGTGGAATCCCGGTCTCCAGGCAAGCCTGTTGGCACCCTGCGGGGCAGTGTGCTGTGAGGCACCAGTTTGGGAAAGGCATTCTGTAGGGTCATTGCGGGCAGAGTCCATCTCCTGGAGATTCACAGCCAGGGTCTCCCGGCCCAGAGGGCAGGCCCAACTTCCCCAGGATGGGAGGAGAGGTCAGAATCACATCCCCAAGCCAGGCAGGTACATCTGACTCCAAAACCAGCTGCTCCCTCGTTGCCAACCCTGGAGTCCCCTTCTCAGAGACCACACCCACCCAGCAACCTTTCCCAGGTCAGCCACTGCCCCATACGGAGAGCCCGGGGGCTGGGGATGGCTTTCTTGCCCTGGTGTCATCCTGGCTGTGGGTTGGCTCTGTCCCAGGGGCTGGCCCAGCCCCGTCTGCTCCATCAGTTTTCACACAGGGCGCTTCGGTTCCGGCACGGATATCTGCTCGACCTCAGCTCCAGGCTTGGCTTCTGGGAATTGGAATTGACTTCCCTTCAGCCCAGGGTGGGGGCTCCCAAGAGCACTGTGCACCCCACACCCTCTGCCTCTGTTGGGAAGCTACAAACTGTATTCACTTGTCAAAGCACCCAGGGCTCTGTGATCACCCATGCAGGCAGGGCCTTTGGTGGGAAAATTGGTTTTCTGTCACAGATGGGGCTTCTCACACATCGGAAAGACGCCTCGGGGACCAAGGCCGCACCCAGCGACCCCTCAGGAACAGTCTTAGGTTGGCAGAGGGCAGTGTTCAGCTCAGAAGGCCTGTGACCACTGTAAGATCCGGTCAGGCGGACTTTTCCAGAAACAGCCGGCAGCACTGAGACGCTCTCTCTGAGCTTGAGGCTGAGGGCCAGCCTGGGCTCCCTTCCACAGGCGCCTCTAGAAAGGCAGAGCCCTGTGGTTCTGTGTGCTTCCCATCCAGGGGCCTTGGGAGCGTGGAGGGTTTAACAGAGGCGCGCAAGGCCTAGAACAGGAGAGCGTGGCCCGGAGGCCAGACAGCGCCTCTGTGGGGGCCTGCGGGGCAGGCGGGATGGAGACGTGGGGTCCAGACCCGCTCCAGCCGCATGGTCCTAGGCAAGGGCTTCCCCTCACCAGGCCTCAGTTTCCTGCTCCGTAAGATGGGGATGATGACACGTACTGTATCGGGTTGCTGTGTGATTAAGACTGAGTGGGGGCCGGGAGGAGCTCCCTGGAGACCAGGAAGAACCAGCCCCCATGTGTGTGGGGTCAGGCCCAGGGAAGAGTCCAGGGTGGGGATGCCCGGGGGACATGGCCCTGAGGACACCCAGCAGGGCCTGGGTCAGGGGCTAGCTGGACGACGGACAGGGCCCAATTTAGTGGACTACCGAGGGCAGAAGGCCTGGGGTGCAGACCCCGGGATCGGGATAGCGGGGAGCTGGCAAGAGGACACTGTCCAGCTAGGGCAGCTCCTGGGACGCTCGTGGCAAGGACTATACTGCGCCTGTGATGGGGGCTGAGGCCCTGACCTGGGTCCCCCAGGGCTCGAACCCTCAAGACTTCGGAATGGCCCCACTCTCTCTCTCTCCTGGGACCCCAGTTGTCCCCAGGCCATCACTCTGATGGCCAAACCCTCAGCGACCGTGAGACGGGTGGCCAGACGCACTTAGACACCGATTTTTGGAAGCGCCCTGTTTTCCTTCCGTCAGCGAGGCCCTGGCTGTGAGCCCCACGTGGAGTGGCCACTTTCACACCATCTGGGAATCGGCAGATGGGCCGTCTCCACACGAGGCAGTCTGGAGGCTGAGCCAAGGTGGAGGCCAGCTCCCAGCTGTGTTCAGAGCCAGGGGCCAGGAAAGGCTTCCCAGAGCAGGAGGCTGTCCCGGGGACGAGCTGCCTCCCACCAGGTGGAGATGCAGGGAAAGCACTCCAGGCAGAGCGAACAGAGAGCCGAGGGATGAAGACGGAAGGGAAGCCAGAAAGCTCGGGGACAGACGGGGATGCACAGTGACCAAATGGCAGGAGCTGGCCCTAGCCACAGAGGACCCAGATGCTGGGCCTGGGAGTCCATCCTCAGCCAGTGGAAGCCTGGAGAGGCCAGGACAGCCCTGAGCGAAGGCTGCATGAAAGCCACAGGTTGGGGCTGAAGACCTGCGCGCCCCCTCTGCTCCTCCACCACCCACAGGCTGCTCTCTTGCCTACAGGGCCCTCCCCCCACCACATGCGCACACTTGTTAGGTCCTAATCCCCAACGTTACTGTCCCCACAGTGCGTCCTCCTGGCTGGAAGCTGGCAGAGCCTCCAGCTCTCCACCTCCCCTTTCTGCTGCGCCGTGTGTACGTTTACAGCATTACCGTTCTCGCTCGACTGCCTTGCTTTGATTTTGCACACATTCCCGGGCACAGGCTGCCTGTCGGAGGCACAGGGATGAGACTCTTTTCCTGACTGTACAAGGGAAGAGTTGTGTAGACCCCACATTAGCAACAGGTCATGTCACATGCGACAGTTAGAATACGTGTGGTGGGAACAGGGACAGATGACCTGACTCTGGGAAGGAGAGAACCTTAAAAGGCTTCCTGGAAGAGGAGGCAGCTGAGTTAAAGGTAGACAAAGAAGGGAAGGATGTGCCAGCAGGTGGGCAGCGTGTGCAAAGATTCAGAAGTGTGGAGCTTTGTGTGCCATTGCTGGGGCCAAAAGTGAAATGTATGTGGGGATGAGGGGACAGTGGTTGGGAGGAGATGGGGGCTGCCAGAGACCCAGCGTTCCTACCAACTGGATTCCTCCGCACTTCTCACAGAGGGGAGCTAGGTGAGGCTTTGTTGAGTGGGCAGTGGATGGACAGGTGAAGAGGGGTGTGTGGCTGGCCCTTTGCAGACTCTGCAGGGGATCTGAAGGCCCCTGAGTGCCCCCACCCTCTGGACGCACCCTGGTGTCATTTGCTTCTCTCCAGCTTTACTTTTGTCTGCAGAGGCTGCAGCAATGCAGGAAGCTCAAACAGCCTTCAAGGCTCTGCCAGTCACAAATGACAGGAACTCAATGCAAGCTGGCTTAATTAAGGAAAAATGAAAGTATTGATTAGTTCACAAACTGACATGTGCAGGGGTAGTTGCAGCTCTAGGCCCTCACGCCTGTCTTTCTCTCTGCCTCTCAGCTCTGCTTTCCTCTCTGTTGGCTTTTTCTCGAGCCACATGGTGGCCCCTGGGAGCTCCAGGCTTAGCCCTGTCAGTCAAAAAGAGCCTTTTCCCCTGAATCCCCACCGTTAAGTCCCAGGCAAGATGCTCATGGCTCGGTTTGGGTCTCAGGCTCATCGCTGACCACGTCATCGTGGCAGAGGGAATTCGGTCACATGCCCACCCAGCAGCCCACCCAGACCCCAGGGGTGGGGATTCCCGGCAGCAGACAGCACACAGATGCCTTTTCCCTCCCCTCCCCCAGCCCCAGGCCACATGGACTGAGCCCAGACCCTGGGCCCAGACCGCCTTTGTTCTCTTGTTACTGACTAATGCACCTGGGTCCTAAGAAGCAGAGGAAGTGCCGTCCCCATGCGTAACCTGTGTTCTCTCTCTCTCTCTTTCTCTTGTTTTCCAGGGACCCCTGGGTCTGGATGGCAAGCCCGTAAGTAATGACAGCGCAATTCCAGGCAGTCCTGGGCTGGGGCTGCCACTATGGAGGTGGGAGTGACCGCTGGGCACTGGAGGGAAGCCACTGGGAGCTTGGTTCAGCACAGAGAGAAGCATTTTGGGTGTCAGACTTGAGTTGAAGTCTAGCTCCACCACCTGCTGATGGTGACCAAGGGAGGCCTCCTCGCCTCCCAAGACGGAGGCTTCCTGTCTGTCAAGTGCATGCGTGAACACCCCCTGCCCCCAGCATAGGGATGCTGTGGGCCTCTGGAGATCTGCGGACAGTACAGTCCCTGGGGTGCAGTCGGCCCTCAGAGCATGCGAGGCCCTCCCAGCAGGCCCCAGGCACGGTGTCCTCGCTACATTCTCAAGACTGCCCTGGTGGGCATCAAGCTGAGTTCTCAACATCTGTGCCAGGAGCCTGTGGTCCCAGGCATCCTCAGCAGATGGGCAGAACATGCAGGGAGACATGAGCACAATTAAATAAGTCATTTGAGGTGGATGGAGGGATGAGTGCGCGGGTGGGTGGATGGATGGATGATGGCTAGATAGATGCGTGGATGAATGGATTGGTGAGTGAATGGGTGGGTGGATGGGTGGATGGATGGATGGATTGGTGAATGGATAGGTGGGTGGGTGGGTGGATGGATGGATGGATGGATGGATGGATGGGTGGATGGATAGACGGTAAATGAATGGGTGGGTGGGTGGGTGGATGAATGGATTGGTGAATGGATAGGTGGGTGGGTGGGTGGATGGATGAATGGATGGATGGGTGGATGGATGGATGAATGACTCATACAGGGATGAACAGAGGGAGCCCATACTCTAAGGAGCTCCTTCCATTAAAGAAGAGAATGCTTTTTTTTTTTTTGAGAAATAAGAAAGAAAAAAGAAAAGAATGCCTCTGAGAGAGAATCTCTGTCTACTGCCTGCCTTGTAGATTCCAGAAAGATGGCAGTGGTCTCCCACTGACATTGACAGAGCGGGTGCTGAGCAGTAGGGGACCCTGTGTGCCCTCTGGGAGGAGTGGCCAGTGCATGTGCCCCTTTCTCTGCTGCAAGGATGCCAGTGGGCCCTTGCTGGTCACCCCCAAGTCCCCCATCTCCCTCAGGCTGAGGACTGAGATGTGGAGCTTCCTTGGACCAGCCAGGGCAGCTCTCACTGAGGGCTGACAGCTCATGGTGATTTTCCACTCAACTGGCCGCAGCTCTGCTCAGCATCACTGGCCCTTCTGCCCTCAGAAGTATAGGGAAGCTAGAAGCGGGGCCAGCGGAAGCCCCTCACTCAGGCCTGTTCTTTCTCCACTTTCCTTCTCTAGGGACTTCCCGGCCCGAAAGGGGAAAAGGTAAGTGATGCCAAGAGCTGTTCAGATGCAAGAGGCAGGTGAAGGAGGCCAGAGATCTGCGTCTGAACCCCAGTTCCAGTGTGCCCTCGAGCTTGTCACAGCCCCTCCTAGAACCTCAGTTTCCCCATCTGTAAAGCGGGAATCGCAATGCCTACCTTCTAAAATGGTTACAAGGCTTGCATTTGACAATAGAGCCTGCCCGGAGAGTTGAGTCTGAGTTCTCCTGGGACCAAAGCATAACCCAACTCAGAGGCCCAGTGTGCCCAGAATGACGAGGGTCCAGAGAACTTCATGGTGAAGAGGGGGTGCCAGGAGGGCGGGGGATCGAACCATGGCTGTTAGTGGTATTCTCTGTGGGGAGGACACCCTTCAGGGAGACATGGCAGAGAGCTATCTCTGCGGCCCCTTGGGAGAAAGGCTTCCCTGGCATCAGGCACTAAAGTCCCCTGGAAAATGGAGACAGTCAAGTGCCTCAGAAGGGAACAGAAGAGACCTGTGTTACCCATGGTAAAATCTGGGGAGGGATCAGAGGAGGCCTGGTTGCGCCAGGGCCAGCTGGGTGCTCCCACAGCTGGACCATGTCCACCCCTGACCCGGCCTTTGAAAATGGGAGGTGAGGTCTGCAGATGGGCCCTGCTGTGATTTGGCAGTTCAGGCCAGGGCAGGCAGGGTTCCCGCCCCACTACCAGGGCTGAGGGAGCCACAGGGAGGCACGGGAGCTGGTGTTCAGAACCTCAGCTTTGCAGTCCAGCTCCACCACCAACTCGGTGGCCTCGGCCAAGTTGTTGGGCTGTGGGCCTCAGTTTCCCCATCTGTAAATTAAGTCCCAATGTCACAGAGCCACAGGAGAGATTGCAGGAGGTCATGGTCTCAATGTTCTCCTCAAGAATGAGAGACTAGCGCAGTTGGTCGGTGTCCTGATTACCTTCCCCCTGGCCTTGGCTGATGCCACCATGTCATTAAAGTGATTCCATCAGGGGCTTTGAAACCAGAGAGAACTGGTGTCTTAGTGTCTGTTGCTGCTTAATGCACTGCCCCAAAACGGGGCGGTGGAAAGCAACATTAACTCATTACTATCCCTTCTAGAGGACACGGTGGGAGGGGCCGTCTGCTCTACAATGTCCGGGGCCTCAAATGGCCAGGGCTGACCCTAGTGAAGGGAACGCCTGGTTTCAAGCCCTGGATCTCCTGGCCGTGTGACCTTGCCCAGGTTAAGTGACCTCACTGTGTCTGTTTCCTCACTGGAAATGGAAATAAAAATAGAGCCTGCTTGCTATTTTCATTAGAATTAAGTCAGCCCCTGTCTGTGAAGCCCTGAGCATCGATGCTCGATGGGAAACGTGAAGAAATAATAAAAGCCGTCCTGCCACCTCTCCCTGTCTCTTGCTCCTAGGGTGCACCAGGAGACTTCGGCCCCCGGGTAAGGACCAGGCACGACCCCCCTCACTGCCCACACGGCTTGTTTTGTTTAATAATGAGGCGTAACTGGTGCTGCTTCTGGGTCCCGGCTCCCTGCAGCTCATCACAGAAAGAGGCCATGAGGCAGCCCTTCTTCCCCACCCACAGCACCCGGGCACCTGGGCTGTGAGGCTGCGGCCTCCTGGACAGGCGGGGAGTCTCTGGAAGATGTCCAGGTCTTCATGCTTCTCGCTGTGGATGCCAGACAGTGGGGCTGGCTTGACCCAGACTGGAGACTGAGTGTCCTGAGGACAGGTGGCACCCCAAAAAGGGGGAAGGCTCTGGGGTCAACAGAACTGAGCTCCAAGCTCAGCTCTGCCACCTGCCAGCTGAGTGACCCTGAACCAGTCACTTTGCCCTCTGAGACTCAGTTTCTTCAACTGTGAGTTGGGGGGACAGCCCCCACCCCAAGAGGTTGCTGTGGGAGTGAAAAGGTAGTGGGAGCGGCAGTGCAGAGAGTGGGGCTGCAGCTTGTGGTTCGGCCTGGCGGGGGGTGCCTGCCCTGCACCTCCACAGCCCTGAGTCGTGAGCAGGAACAAGAAAGGGGGCTGGCCAGGCCAAGCTCCGAGGACACAGCTGCTCTGTGCCAGCCACATAAATCTGATGAGATTGCTCTGCAGTCAAAGAAAGCGAGCTCGTGCTGAGTTTTGGCTGCTGAGAAAAATCTTTTTGCTTCCTTCCTGGTGGGTGTGTGGAGCTGATATTCCAAAAGGAGATGTCCTCTGCTCAACAGACTAGAAGTCCTGAGGCCCAGGGGTCATGGAAGAGTGAATCTCCCCCCAAGCCCCCTACCTTCCTCATGAATACCCTCCCTATGTTCCCGGTGTCCCAGTCATCAGGACACCAGCCCCCAACACACACACACACACACAACACACACACACACACACACACACACACACGTTTAGTGGCTTAATGGCTGGGCGTGGTGGCTCATGCCTGTAATCCTAACACTTTGAGAGGTTGAGGCAGGCAGATCACCTGAGGTCAGGAGTTTGAGACCAGCCTGACCAACATGGTGAAACCCCATCTCTACTAAAGATACAAAAATTAGCTGGGCATGGTGGTGGATGCCTGTGGTCCCAGCTACTCAGGAGTCTGAGGCAAGAGAATTGCTTGAATCCGGGAGGCAGAGGTTGCAGTGAGCCGAGATCTTGCACCACTGCACTCCAGCCTGGGCAACAAGAGCGAGACTCCATCTAAAAAAAACAAAAAGGTAGCGGCTTAAGACTTCAATTGTCATTATCTCTCATGGCCCCTGGGTTAGGGTTAGGCTCCCTCAGGAGGTTGCAAGCAGCCTGGCCGGGAGCCCCTGGTGATGGTGCCATCGCATGGCTGCAGGTAGCGGGGATGCTGGTGGGTGCCCAGCTGGTAAGCAGCCATCCTTGAAGAATGAGTCTACACACCTGATGACCTAACTGCCTTTCTCTGGGCTTGGTTAAGTGACTTTGCTTCCAGGTGTCAAAAGCCTTTTGGTTTTTGAAATCACCTTCCTGCCTTTCTGACCACACAACGTATCTGCTGACTAGATGGTTTTCCCACGGCTCAATCCGGGTTTTATAAGTAGAGACCATCACTTGTACAATCGTCGGATCCTCAAGGTAGACTGGCTAAGTGGGGGTCTGGGCCTGATGGCTTGCTGTGTTGCCCCCAACTCACCCCACATTTGCAGGGTTAGACCTCAGCCATCCAATCCCTGAGGGAGGACCAGGCAGGCTGGCCAAGAAAGAGCCTAAGAGCCTCTCCCAGGACCTGCTCCAGTGTCAGGCCCATTTACTGCCTTAATAAGTAGAGTCCAGGCCAGTAGTTCCCAGCCCAAGGCCCATTATAAAAGGAGCAGTGGGGAGCTAAGGGGGTGTCTTCAAATTCTACCTGATTCAGTACAAAGTATGATAGGAATTACTCACCACCATCACCACCCATGCCTGGTGACCTAACCAGACTGTCAGTTTTCTTGCCTTTTGACTGGAGCTATAACATTTTGATCAGGACCCTGGCCATTCCAGACCCACGGGAAGACCTGAGTGGTGGGTGTTGAGAGCTTCTGCTGATTTTTTAATTGGGAAAGCAAGGGAATTCGTGTTACATGCAGTTTGCTAAAGAGGTGAGCTATTTCAGATCAGGGAACATCTGGGAATGAAAAGACGTCTCTCAAAGGGACCATTTGCCTTGGTAGTGAGAGGAAGCTCTGCCTTCCCTGGGCAAGTGACCCTCTGACCACCCCCCGACCCCAGCCATTGCATCTATAAAATGGGACAATAACAGTGCCCTGGCCCATTCATCACAAACGTTGAATAAGATCATCTTCGGTCAGGCGCGGTGGCTCACACCCGTAATCCCAGCACTTTAGGAGGCCAAGGCGGGTGGCTCGCTTGAGGTCAGGAGTCTGAAACAAGCCTGGCCAACATGGTGAAACCCCATCTGTACTCAAAATACAAATAATGATAATAATAACCCCACCTACTTGGGAGGTTGAAGCAGGAGGATCCATTGAACCCAGAAAGTGGAGATTGCAGTGAGCCAAGACTGTGCCACTGCACTCCAGCCTAGGTGACAGAGCAAGAGACTCTGTCTTCAGTTTTTTTAAAAACAGGGTTTTTTAAATTATCTTTAGGATATCCTTGCTAGCTTAGTGCTAGGTCTTCCTTTCTTTGTTACAAAAAGGTTAGGAGCCACTGGCACCATGACCCGGTGTTCTTCACTCCTGTGCCCTGTGCCAGTGCAGGGTAGGTGCCAGTCACAGTGATCTTCCTTCCTTTTGGGTTGGGCCATGAGGTGGGGCTCTGGCTGCCTGAGGTCTGATCCGGTACTAACATCAGGTTCTAAAGGTGGGGATTTAGTGCTGCATGAGAGAAAGTGTGTGGCCCTTCATCATCTTTTCTTTTTCTTTTATTTTGAGATAATTGTAGATTTACATGTAGTTGAGGTACATAACACCTGTGTCCCCTTCATCCCGTCGTCTCCCCCAATGGTAACATCTTGCATCTCTGTAGTCCAGTCTCACAACAGGAAATTAACATTGACACGATCCAGCAACCTTATTCAGATGCCCCCAGCTACACACACCCTTGTTTGTGTGTGTAGTTCTATGCAATTTTAACACACTTGTAGATTTGTGTAAGTACACAAAGGTCCCTCGTGCAGTTCTTTTGTGGTTACAGTCGCCTTCATCCCCCCCATCCCTAATTCCTGGCAACCATTGTGGGTTCTCCATCTCTATAACCTTGCCATTTCAAGAGTGTTATGTAAATACAACCACCCAATATTAAGCTTTTGAGATGGACTTTTTTCACTCAGCGTAATCCTCCTGAGATGCATCTGAGGTGCTGCATGTGTCATGGCCTGTTCCTTTTGGTTGATTGCTGTGTTGTGTTCCACGATGTGGATGTACTCCAGCTCCTTAACCTTCCACCTACTGAAAGACTTTTGGATTGGTTTCCAGTTTGGAGCTGTTACTAATTAAGCAGCTGTGAACAAGGATAAATGCCCAAGAGTGCACCTCCATACTTAAAACGAAGTGGGAGTTGACCAACCAGGAAGGTCCTTCAGGAGACACTCAGGCCCGTTCTACAGAGGGGGGCAGCTGGGCACCCGAGCTTCCTCCCACATCCAGCGTGTGCCATCTCTTGCCTAAACACTGTATCTGGGCTTTCAGGTACCAGAGAGCTGGCACATGGCATGTAAAAAATCCTGTAGGGCCTCTTACACCAAGATAAGGGGACCTGTTCCTTCATGCAGTCCCCAAGAAGTGGCAAGAGGCCCAATAACAATAACTCAAAGGGGAAGCCCTTTGAGTCTGCCCCAAGGGCTGGGAAGGGGATGGTGTGGGGCTGCCTGTCTGAGGGAGCCTCTCTCTGGAGGCTGGACCTCCTCCCACTCAGAGTCATGCCAAGCCCCATCTCTTCCAGGGAGACCGAGGACAAGATGGAGCTGCTGGGCCCCCAGGGCCCCCCGGACCTCCTGGGGCCCGGGGCCCTCCTGGTGACACTGGGAAAGATGGCCCCAGGGGAGCACAAGGCCCAGCGGTAAGAGAGGGCTTGGAGTTGGACCACTCAGGACTTGACCAAAACCTCAAACCCTGATTCCAGAGCCAGCCCCAGACCCATCCCCATCTCTAGTGCAGACCCCACGCCAGCCTTAACCCCAGTCCAGACACTGAACCAAGGCCCTAACTCCAACCAAGATCCAACCCCAATTCGGATCCTGCCGCTGACCCCAGACCTAAACCCAACCCTAACCTCAACCCAGACCCTTACCCCAATGGAACCTTAAATCTGACACTAACTGGGTCTCTGACCCCAATCAAGACCTTGACTTCAAACTTCATTCCCAAATCCTGATCTACACCTCCGATTCAGACCCTAAGTCTGACCCCTACGGACTCTGACCCTGACTCCAAGCCCAATTCTAACCTCAAATAGACCCAGAGACCCTAGCCTGACCTTAGTTGCAATCCCAATCCTGACTCGACCCTGAGCCTGAGATGCTTGTGCGGGCACTGTCCCTGCAGACCTTTATCAGCTCCCCCATCCTCCTCCCCGGTAGTATCTCAGCCTCAGCTTTCCTCCCAGGGTCTCCAGAGCCTGGAAGCCAGGCCCCATCCTGCCACCCCTTTCCCTAACCCAGAAACTCCAGCTTGTCCTTCCCTCCAGTGTGGAGCCCACGCCACCACCAGACTGCCGCCAGGGTCCCCCCAGTCAGATGGGTCCCCCCGGGACAGCTGCTCAGTTGGCTCATCCATTACTTGTCATGCCAGGCCAGTGGCTTCCCGAGCCTAACATTCTCATCGGAGGAGTGGGGACCGTGATAGCCACTCTTCTGGTTTGGCAAGGATAAAATGAAATAATGTACTTAGAGCCCCAGCCCGGGGTCTGGCCTGAGATTTGGGCTCAGTTTAGGGTGACAACCTGCATCCCTCACTACTGTCCCCTTATACTTCCTCAGGGCCCCAAAGGAGAGCCGGGACAAGATGGCGAGATGGTCAGTATTCAGGGCATTCCAGAGGCCTGGGCTGGTGGGACTGTGGTTGCCAGACCCGGTAGCCCCTTTCCCACACACGCCGACAGCAGGGTCACGCGTGTGTGGGTGTGGGCGTGCGTGCAGCCCCCTCTGCGTGTACATGTCTGCATGTGTGTGTGCGCGCGCGTGTGGGCGTGCGTGCAGCCCCCTCTGCGTGTACATGTCTGCATGTGTGTGTGCGCGCGCGTGTGTGCGTGCGTGCAGCCCCCTCTGCGTGTACATGTCTGCGTGCTGTGTCAGCAACCTCTGCGTGTACATGTTGCCTGCAGTGTGTGTGTGCGCGCGCGGTTGTGAGCGTGCGTGCAGCCCCTCTGCGTGTACATGTCTGCATAGTGTGTGTGCGCGCGCGTAGTGGTGCGTGCGTGCAGCCCCTCTGCGTGTACATGTCTGCATTGTGTGTGTGCGCGTGTCGTGTGGGGCGTGCGTGCAGCCCCTCTGCGTGTACATGTCTGCATGTGTGTGTGCGCGCGCGTGTGTGCGTGCGTGCAGCCCCCTCTGCGTGTACATGTCTGCATGTGTGTGCCCCCCGTGCACCTGCCTCTCCCCCCGCCAGGCAAGACACCAGCCCAGGCGGAATTCCAGTAGCTCCACCTTCCTGTGCGGAGGCCGCAGCCCACTTGCCACTGCCTGAGCCCTAACGCAGAAGCTGTCCCAGGCTTGAGGAGTCAGGCCCAGGGTGGCAGCTCCAGCCTGCTTCTGACAGCAACCCTGCCTCCTGCTCTCTGGGATTGGTGTCCCCTTTTACAAAGCCAGGATGCTAAGAAGGACAGGCCCAGGAACAGCCTCCGGTATGACATTTAACACCTTCTCTCCTTTTGTTCCAGGGCCAGAAGGGATCCCCAGGGCCCAAGGTGAGCGCTCCTCATTCCCCATGCCCCTCCCCAGATCTTGCAGGATGGATTCCCCCACGACCACTTCCTTTCTCTTGCCCCCCCACACCCCCAATGAAGCCAAGGCGGCAGGGTCAGGAGACCAAATTCCCAGACCTTGGGCAAGTTACTGCATCTCTCTGGGCCTCAGTTTACTCATCTGTTAAACAGGGCACAGTAAACATTTCCTGCCTTTTTCACACAGTTGAAAGGGTTGAATCACAAAACATGTTAGGAGGGTTTTTAGTTTCAAATAGATTTTCATTTTTAATTTTTTCGAGACAGAGAGTCTCACTGTCGCCCAGGCTGGAATGCAGTAGCACGATCATGGCTCACTGCAACCTCCACCACCTGAGTTCAAGCAATTCTGCCTCAGCTTCCCAAGGAGCTGGGACTTCAGGCATGCACCCCCACACCCAGGTAATCTTTTGTATTTTTAGGAGAGATGGGGTTTGACATGTTGGCCAGGCTGGTCTTGAACTCCTGACCTCAGGTGATCTGCCTGCCTCAGCCTCCCAAAGTGCTGGGATTACAGGTATGAGCCACCATACCTGGCCCAAACAGATTTTATTTATTCATTTATTTATTTTGGTTTTTTTGTTTGTTTGTGTTTGTTTTTGTTTTTGTTTTTGTTTTTGAGACGGAGTTTCGCTCTTGTTACCCAGGCTGGAGTGCAATGGCGCGATCTCGGCTCACCGCAACCTCCGCCTCCTGGGTTCAGGCAATTCTGCCTCAGCCTCCTGAGTAGCTGGGATTACAGGCACGTGCCACCATGCCCAGCTAATTTTTTGTATTTTTAGTAGAGACGGGGTTTCACCGTGTTGACCAGGATGGTCTCGATCTCCTGACCTCGTGATCCACCCGCCTCAGCCTCCCAAAGTGCTGGGATTACAGGCTTGAGCCACCGCGCCCGGCAGATTTTATTTTTAGAAGAATTTTTGTTTCACAACAAAACTGAACAGGAAGTACAGAGTTTCCATATGCCCCGGCCCTGGCCCACACACCCCTCCCCTGCTATGAACAGCCCCAGCTTGTTACAGCTGATGCGCCTGCACAGGCAGATCACCACCACCAGATGCCAGAGTCTACAGCAGGATTCACTCTTGCTGTGCTATCCACTACTGTGGTGTCATGGAGTATTTACCCTGCTCTGAACATTCTGCTATCTGCGTGAACAACCCTCCTTCTTCCTAGCCCCTGACACCACTGATCTTTTTTCTTTTTTTTTGAGATGGAGTCTTACGTTTGTTGCCCAGGCTGGATTGCAATGGTGCGATCTCAGCTCACTGCAACCTCCACCTCCCAGGTTTAAGCAATTCTCCTGCCTCAGCCTCCCAAGCAGCTGGGATTACAGGTGCCCACCACCACACCCAGCTAACTTTGTATTTTTAGTAGAGAGAGTGTTTCACCATGTTGGTCATGGCTGGTCTCAAACTCCTGACCTCAGGTGATCCGCTCGACTCAGCCTTCCAAAGTGCTGGGATTAGAGGCGTGAGCCGCCGCGCCCGGCCACCACTGATTTTTTTTTTCACTGTCTCCATAGTTTTACCTTTCCCAGAGTATCATCTAGTTGGAATCACACAGTGAGTGGCCTTTTCAGATCAGCTTCTTTCACTGAGTAATACACATTGACATTTCCTCCATGTCTTTTCATGGCTTGACAGCTCATTCCTTTTTAGCACTGAATAACAGTCCATGTCTGGCTGGGCACGGTGGCTCATGCCTATAATCCCAGCACTTTGGAAGGCTGAGGCAGTTAGATCACGAGGTCAGGAGTTCGAGACCAGCCTGGCCAATATGGCAAAACCCCGTCTCTATTAAAAATGCAATAATTAGCTGGGTGTGGTGGCACACGCCTATAGTCCCAGCTACTCGGGAGACTGAGGCAGGAGAATCACCTGAACCGGGAAGGTGGAGGTTGCCCATGAGGTTGCAGTGAGCCAAGATCGTGCCGCTGCACTCCAGCCTGGGTGACAGAGCAAGACTCTGTCACGATTGTCAGTGTCTGGATTTATTATTTCTTTAGTGATCGGCCACAGTTTATTTACCCACTCACCTACCGAAGGACATGTTCGCTGCTTCCAGGTTTTGGCAGTTTGGGGTAAAGCTGCTGTCAGCATCCATGTGCCGGTTTTCATGTGGATGTAGTTTTCCAGCATGTTAGCTTGTCCAGCCCTCTGCAGATGTCAGCTCTTTCTTTTCTGCCCTCCTTGGGCAGGGCCTGGGTGGGGAGGCAGACTGTGGTCCCCCCTGCCACAGCCGGAGCCCCTGGCCTGAGGAGGAAGGCTGGGAAAGAGCTTGCTTAGCCAGTGCCTTGTCCTCCAAAACCCTCTGGGACTGCAGGAGTCACCACCCCACTTTTTTGAAGAGTGCCTTGCCCAGGGTTGTTGAGCTTGGGAGGGAGTGGCTCAGAAGTGGAATTCAAGACTGTCATCCCCACTTTTCTGAAGCATTCGGGGGTCTCCGGGCTGGCCCTAGGCATGGGTCCTCGGTGCCACTTCTACCCAAGGAACAAGAGGCCTGGGATCCAGGCCACGCTCCTATGGCTCTGACCTTGCTCTTGAACCCCCTTTGCCTCCCCCAGGGTGAGCCTGGAGCACCTGGAAAGAAGGTGAGAGGGACCGATGGAGGAGCTTCCGGGGCAGCGTTGGGAAGTGGCTGGAGAGAAGGGCAGGGGCTGGGGGCAGGATGGGGATACGAATGGGAGCCAACCCACAGGGAAGGCGGCCTTTTCTTCACCAGACCTGGGCCCTCACTGCAGGTGGCTGCCCTGTCCTTGCTCTCTGTGAGGCCAGAATTCATTTTATTCATTCATTTATTCACTCATTATTTCCCCTCCTCAAACACATCGAATTCATGCCCACTTCAGGGCTGGGGGCATTAGTTCTCAAAGTGTGGTCCGGGGTGGGCGCCAGGAATCAGAGACTGGGGTGGGGCTGGAGTTTGTTTGACCAGTTGCTGGTGCCGCTGCTGTGAGCTCAAGCTTGAAACCACTGAATGAGCATGATCTTCCCCGGCCTTTTCTCCTGGGCCAGCCTCCTCACTCACCTCATCCAGGTCTCAGTAAAACCCTCCCCCAAGGCCAGCAGGCGCACTGGCTCACCCCTGCAATCCCAGCACTTTGGGAGGCCAAGGCAGAAGGATCACTTGAGATCAGGAGTTCAAGACCAGCCTAGCCAATATGGCAAAACCCCATATTTACAAAAAATAAGGAAATAAGTAAGCCAGGCATGGTGGTGAGCACCTGTAAGCCCAGCTACCCTGGAGGCTGAGGCAGGAGAATCACTTGAACCCGGGAGGTGGAGGTTGCAGTGAGCCAAGATCGAGCCACTGCACTCCAACCTGCTGGGTGACAGGGTGAGACTCATCTCCAAAAAAAAGAAGACCAGCCTAGACAATACAGCAAGACCTCATCTCTACTAAAAATCAAAAAAATTTGCCAGGTGCAGTGGCATGCATCTGTAGTCTCAGCTACTTGGAAGGCTGAGGTGGGAGGATCGATTGATCCCGGAAGTCAAGGCTACAGTAAGCTATGATTGTGCCACTGCACTCCAGCCTGGATAACACAGCGAGACCCTGTCTCAAAAACCAAAAAAAACCTCTTCCGTCTTCCAGGAGACTTTCCCTGGCCACCTGCTGAAACAAGCCCTCCCTGCAGCCCCTCTCCGTCATGCCATCCTCTGCTCTTATCTGATGTGTATATACGTTTTAGGACAGGATCTCACTCAAGCTGTGATGGATGCAGTGGCACAGTCACAGCTCCCTGCGGCCTCAGGCAGTCCTCTCACCTCAGCCTCTCAAATAGCTGGGACTACAGGCATGCGCCGCCATGCCCAGCTACTTTGTTATTTTCTGGTTTTTGTAGAGATGGAGTCTTGTTCTGTTGCCCAGGTTGGCGTGTCGTGGCTATTCACGGGTGCTATCATGGTGCACTGCAGCCTCAAACTCCTAGGCTCAACCAGTCTTCCCACCTCGGCCTACCAGAGCGCTGGGAGTAAGGCATGGGCCACTGTGCCAGGCAACTTTGTATTGATTTGAACATTTCTTTTCCCTCGGCCTGCTCTGACTCTGCCTGAGCAGGGACCTCAGCTGCCTGGCCCACACGGAGAATGAGTGGATGAATGTCTGCTCATTCACTGTCCAGCCGTTCTTTCTGCAAATGCCTGTTGAGGCTTGCCCTGGACCGACCCTGGGCTGGTGGGGACAGGGGACACACGCAGATGGGTCCCTACCCCACCTCTGCTCTGGAGGAGCAAGGAGGGTAGGGAGGAGCTGCCTGGTACAGTGTGCCAGTGCAGGTGCCAGGAGCAGACTGGTGTGTTAGGAAGTCCAGAGGACGGAGGGGCCCACTGGCCACCTGAGGGTCTGGCCCGCAAGCCCCAGCTGTCCTCTCCTCAGGGTGATGACGGGACACCAAGCCAGCCTGGACCACGAGGACTCCCCGGACCACCAGGGCCCAAGGTGAATATCTGCCCCTCCCCTCGCAGCCCCCTGCCCCACCTCCCATGCTTCCCATCTGCCTGGTGAAGCCCCTACCCTGGATCTTTGGCACCAGTGGGGCTCTGGGCCACTGCCTGGCACAGGCCAGAGAGAGGCAGAGGAAGGCCCCAGCCCCACCCCACAGCAGGCCTGGCATCTCACCCGGGCCACGTGCCTCCCTCACCTCAGACCCTCTTGTTTCCATCTCAGGGGGCCTCACTCTGCCCTGTCTCCAAGCCAGGAACTGGGTATCATCCTCACTTCTTGCTCCCCCAACCCCTCGCAATGGCCACCAAATCCTGGCCAGCCAATCTCCAAAATGTCCCTTGAGCCCCTGAGCTGCCCCAAGTATGTGCCAAGACCCACACCAGAAGGTGGTGGCCGTGGTCCTGAATCCTCTGGGCTGGGGAGAGCCGTGCGGTCCATCTGCCAACCCCACCACGGACTGAGTAACATTCGCCAGGAGGCCTGATCGCAGGGCTCCGGGCAGCCCCAAGCTCCCCCCACCACATGCTCTCATTGCAACTGTTTCTATTTCAGGGTGAGCCAGGGAGCATGGGGCCTCAGGGAGAGAATGGCGTGGACGGTGCCCCAGGACCAAAGGTGACGTGAGAGCTTGCTGCTCTGAGCTGGCGCCTGCGGGCCCCGCTCAGACCGTCACCCAGTCAGGAGTGGGAGATGTGGTTTCACCTCTAATTTGCCATTTTAAGTGGGGAGTCCCAGGAGGGCCTAACCTGGGGTCTCCTTCAGCGCTGTCGGAAGCTGGTATGGGGGCAGCAGTGGTGAATCTGGGTGAGTGGCAAGGCCTCCACTGGGAACCAGCTTTGTGGCCAACTCACCATGTAGCCTCAGGCTCCTGGACACCAGCATGTCCCATATACTCGATCCTATACAAAGCGATGTCAGAGAGGATCTCGGAGGCCCCTCTAGGAGCCCCATTCGTGGGGTGTTGTTCTCATACATTCGGCTCTTAGGGCTCTAGCACTTGGGCCCTGGGCCCTCCTGGGATGAGGGACCGGAGGCAGGGTCATGGAGGGTGTGTTTTGCCTTCACACCTGCACCTCTGGCTGCAACCTTGTGTCTCCACAGGGGGAGCCTGGCCACCGAGGTGCGGACGGAGCTGCAGGGCCCCGGGTAAGCCACCACCTCTCAGGCAAGGCCTCAGGGATGGGATCTAGGGGTTCCGTAGCTTCAGAAGTCCCTGTCCCCACAGAGACCCCAGAGGACCCTGGAGCTACAGGAACTGGGAGTATTTTACTTTTTTAAATAATTTATTAGTGATTTTTGGAAATTCATAATAAATGCTTTTTTGCGTAAAATGCTCAAATGAGGTATAAAAATAAGAGTCCTAACTTGCTATTATGAAGCCAGATCTCTCTCGGTCCCCTCATGAGCACATGCCCATCTAAACTCCTTTATATATTCAGACACAGGGTCCTCTGTTGTCCTACGCCTGATCCTACCACGGTGGGCGGGGCCTTGCCTTTTCCTACCCCACAGGGAGGTTTGTCCCTGCCCACAGGAGCACAGCACTCCAGCCCACTCCAGATCTTTTGTGACCAGCCCCTATCAACATGCCTTACCTTTAGGGTGGCATCCGGGATCCTAGCCTCAGCTGTGTGTCCCCTCATGCCCCCAGAAGCTGACTTCTTCCTCCAAAAAAAAGGATCTGAGCCCCTGCCTGGCTGTGCAGGTGGTGGGGAGCTGGAGAGGGTTGGATTAGACCACCAGTGAGTCAGGCAGTTGTGGGCAGGCTGTGACCAGGAGGGCCTGCAAATGAGGCCCAGGCAAAGGTCTCTACCCTACACAAGGGGTTGGCTTGGGCCTGAACCAAAGTGCTCCCAGCAAAAAGCAGCCTGGGTGGGGAAGTGAGGTTCACAATGGAAGGACGGGCCAGCGGCCATGCATGCAGTGTGAGTGTGCAGTGTGAGCATGCAGTGGGCATGCAGTGGGAGTGTGCAGTACAGTGCAAGCCTGCAGTGTGAGCGTGCAGTGTGAGCCTGCAGTGAGTGTGCAGTGTGAGCGTGCAGTGTGAGTGTGCAGCATGAGCGTGCAGTGAGTCTGCAGTGTAAACGTGCAGCATGGGCACGGGCCTGCTAACATGCGCCTATACCCAGGCAGGAATAGGCTATGGGTGCATGGTGTGTGCAGCCTTTGCCAGAGGCTGGGAAATGGAGGCACCGGGGCCAGATCCAGCCTGCTCATGTCTTTGTGGTTTGGAGGCTTTGGGGTTTTTCTGTTTGTTGCCAACATTTAAAAATCTGAAGAACGTTACATCAAAATCAGGCTTTCTGGGCGGGCATGGTGGCATGCCTGTAATCCCAGCACTTTGGGAGGCCAAGGCGGGTGGATCACAAGGTAAAGAGATCGAGACCATCCTGACCAACATAGTGAAACTGCATCTCTACTAAAATAACAAAAATTAGCCGGGTGTGGTAGCGCATGCCTGTAGTCCCAGCTACTCGGGAGGCTGAGGCAAGAGAATTGCTTGAAGCCGGGAGGCAGAAGTTGCAGTGAGCCGAGATCGCGCCATTGCACTCTGGCCTGGTGCCTGGCAAAACAGCGAGACTCTGTCTCAAAGAAAAAAAATCACTCATGTTCAAAATCAGGCTTTCTAGTTTCCCCTGAGAACGCAGGGATCAGGTCTGAATGCCCACATGGAGGCAATTACAGCTGCCCCCAAACCAGGCGGAAACAGGTCCCTCAGCTGGCCCCAGGGCCTGCCTCCCCTTCCCTCCCTTGCTGGGATCCACACTGGGGAGGAGCGTGTGTGTGGCCTGGGTGACAAGTTTCTCCCATGGCTTCCTCTCTGGGTATGATGCAGGGACAGCTGCCACTTCACCCCCTAACTTAGGTCTTCCCTGAAATTCTTATTCTTCTTCCTGCCTCAGGGCGCCCCAGGCCTCAAGGGAGAGCAGGGAGACACAGTGGTGATCGACTATGATGGCAGAATCTTGGATGCCCTCAAGGTAGTGTTCCTGGTGGGACCAGGCTGTCCCTTAGATGTTCTTTTCCTTAGGGAATAATCACTCCCTTTGTGAGTAATCCTGCATTTTTTGACACAAGGGACTAGAGGCAGCTTAGCACAGAGACCCCAAAGTTATCAGGTGCCCAATGTGGAAACCAGGGCTGTGTTGAGACTGCATCAGAGAGGCACGGTGAATACGGCTCATGTGGCCCTGAGCTCCCCAGAGGCCAAGTCAAAAAAGGAAGCTCCCTGCTCAGGGCAAGAGGCAAAGCATTTCCTGGGGTCTGGTCCCAGCAGTGTCTCCTGGGACCTTCCCAGAGGACACTGGCTAGAGAACTAGGTCTTCTAATGATGTCATGGGGAGGATGAGAGTGGCAAGCCCTGCTTTGGAGTCTTGGGAGATGTGTGACCTCCGAGCCCAGTCGCTGGTAAACTTGGGACTTACCACCAGTGGAGAGAGGCACTAGGTGCCAGCTGCTCGTGGGTACCCCGAAAGGGAAGTGAGTAAGGAAGGAGTGGTCACCAGAGACCAGACTGGGCAGCGGCCCCTTGGCCCTACCTAAGCATCATTCCCAGTTATCTCCCACAGGCCCTGCAGAAGTACAAGTTGACAGTAACTGTGGCACCCACCCCAGGCCTGCATGGTGTGGTGTGGTGTGTGGCGTGGCATGGCCCAAAGGGCAGGCACATGCATGGTGTGTCCCAGGCTGACCCAGCCTTATGGGAGAAGCCCTATGAGTGCAGGAAGTTGGGGGATGGCCTTTGTTTGGTTTTTGTTTTTGAGACGGAGTTTCACTCTTACCACCCAGGCTGGGCATGATCTCGGCTCACTGCAACCTACTCCTCCTTGGGTTCAAGTAATTCTGCCTCAGCCCCCAAGTAGCTGGGACTACAGGCATGCACCACCACACCCAGCTAATTTTCTTATTTTTAGTAGAGACAGTCTTCACCATGTTGGCCAGGCGGGTCTCAGACTCCTGATCTCAAGTGATCTACCCGCCTTGGCCTCCCAAAGTGCTGGGATTACAGGTGTGAGTCACCATGCCCAGCCAGAGATGGACTTTGGATACCAGACTGAGATGTTGACTCGATTTGATGGGCAGCAGCCAGCCATAGTCCATGCAGGGGATGATGTTAAAAAATAAAAATAAGGCTGAGAGTGGTGGCTGACTCCTGTAATCCCAGCACTGTGGGAGGCCAAGGCAGGCAGATCATGAGGTCAAGAGATCGAGACCATCTTGGCCAACATGGTGAAACCCCATCTCTAATAGAGATACAAAAATTAGCTGGGTGTGGTGGTGTGCGCCTGCAATCCCACCTACTCCAGAGGCTGAGGCAGGAGAAGCACTTGAACCCAGGAGGCAGAGGTTGCAATGAGCCGAGATTACACCACTGCACTCCAGCCTGACAACAGAGCAAGACTCCGTCTCAAAAAATAATGATAATAAAAAATAAAAAAATAATTAAAAAAAAATAAAAACATATTAGGGGAAGGCTACCTGGGGACCGGTATGGACAGCGAATGAAGCAAGTGTTGGGGTGGGTGGAGCAGGCAGCCAGGGGCCCCTAGGCAGAGAAGCCCTGGGCCTGGAGGAGGGTGGATGAGATGGGGGCCAGGGACATCTTAATGGGACACCGAGAAGCGGGCAGCATGGGGAGGCGGGAGGGGAGAGACCTAGAACTTGTCGTCAGGGGCTGCGCAGGGTGCAGTTTTTAGGAAGAGAGGGCAGGAGCGTGCAGAGGCTGAGCAGGGGCAAGCTGAGCCCTGGTGGCAGGCAGCCTGCAGAAAGCCTGGGTCGGGACAGAAGTTTGGGATTGGGGTCAGACCTGTGAGACTGAGGAGCTCCCCAGGCCAGCAGATGGCAGGTGGTGGAGCCAGAGCGTCAGAGAGCTCATAGGAGTCAGAGAGGGTGGTGCCGGGCCACCACTGGGGAAGTCATTCTTGGCAGGCTTGAATGCTCGCAGGGGATTTAAGCTTGCTTCAAGAGGCAATTGGGAGCCAATGTAAGATCTTGAGCAGGGGAGCATCGTGAAGAAATCTGTATTGGGGAGACTGGCTCTAAGGGCAGAGGGCCCTTCATGGCCACAGACACTGGTTTCTTGTCAAATGCTGGGTGCCATCTCCTGGCCTCCCCCACAACCGAGAGGCCAGATGAAGCCATGCACAGTGTGGCCTTTGACTGGGGAAGAAGCAGTCCCAGAGGACCCTGCCCCTGCTCAGCTCAGCTGGACAGGGACTTGGTTCCAGGTGGGGAGCTGGGTGGGCAGTGAGGGGAGGTCCTGCATAACCACCGACTGGCTTCATTTTCACACACAGGGGCCTCCCGGGCCACAGGGGCCCCCAGGGCCACCAGGGATCCCTGGAGCCAAGGTCAGTGCAGATGCAGCTATGCGGTCCCCCAAGCATTTGTCTCCAGGACCCACCTCCCCGCTCCTGTCTGCTCTGTGACCCTCCTCCACTTCCCTCCTGGTGTCTTGTCCTGGCTTCTAAGGGCTCAGAGAAAGGGGCTGGGCTCCCAGGCTGAGTGCCTTCTTCCTGCGCCTTTCTACTCTGGGAGAGCTGCCTGGGAAGCCTCATTCCTCCCTTTAAACTGGAAAATCATGCAGCTGTAAAAAGGAACGAAATCATGTCCTTTACAACCACATGGATGTAGCTGGAGGCCATTATCCTAAGTGAATTAATACAGAAAATAAAACCGGCTGGATACAGTGGCTCACACCTGTAATCCCAGCACTCTGGGAGGTCAGGATGGTGGATCACCTGAAGTCAGGAGTTTGAGACCAACCTGACCAACATGGTGAAACTCCATCGCTACTAAAAATAAAAAAATTAGCCGGGCATGGCAGTGGGCACCTGTAATCCTAGCTATGCAAGAGGCTGAGGCAAGAGAATCGCTTGAACTTGGGAGGCAGAGGTTGCAATAAGCCAAGATTCTGCCAATGCACTCCAGCCTGGGCAACAAAAGTGAAACTCCATCTCAAAAAAAAAAGAAAAAAGAAAAGAAAAATACTGCATTTTCTCACTTAAAAATGGCAGCTAAACGTTGGGTACACACAGACACAAAGATAATAATAAACACTGGGGATTCCAAAAGGGCGGATGGCGGAAGGCGAGGGTTGAAAAACAACCTCACAGGTGCTGTGTTCACCACTTGGGTGACAGGATCATTAGAAGCAAAAACCTCAGCATCGTGCGCTATACCCGTGTGACAGCCCTGCCCGTGTACCCGCCGATTCTAAAACTTTTTTAAGGGCCGGGCACGGTGGCTCAAGCCTGTAATCCCAGCACTTTGGGAGGCCGAGGCGGGTGGATCACGAGGTCAAGAGATCGAGACCATCCTGGTCAACATGGTGAAACCCCGTCTCTACTAAAAATACAAAAAATTAGCTGGGCATGGTGGCACGTGCCTGTAATCCCAGCTACTCAGGAGGCTGAGGCAGGAGAATTGCCTGAACCCAGGAGGCGGAGGTTGCGGTGAGCCGAGATCGCGCCATTGCACTCCAGCCTGGGTAACAAGAGCGAAACTCTGTCTCAAAAAAAAAAACTTTTTTAAAAGCTATAGATTTTTCTCTAAGCACGGCTTTAGTTGCCTCCTACAAACTTTGATATGTTGAATTTTATTTTTATTCGGGTCAACATAATTGCTAATCTCTCTTTTGATTTATTCATGGATTATTTAGAAATATGTTATTTAAGCCGGGCACGGTGGCTCAAGCCTGTAATCCCAGCACTTTGGGAGGCTGAGGCTGGCGGATAACGAGGTCAAGAGATCGAGACCATCCTGGTCAACATGGTGAAACCCCGTCTCTAATAAAAATACAAAAAATTAGCTGGGCATGGTGGCACGTGCCTGTAATCCCAGCTATTCAGGAGGCTGAGGCAGGAGAATTGCCTGAACCCAGGAGGTAGAGGTTGCGGTGAGCCGAGATCGCGCCATTGCACTCCAGCCTGGGTAACAAGAGCGAAACTCCGTCTCAAAAAAAAAAAAAAGAAATATGTTATTTAATTTTACAATACTTGGGAATTTTTCCAGATATCTTGCTTTTTTGTTTGTTTTTAGCTTTTTTCATATTTATAGTATCCAACTGACCAGATATCTTATTAATTTCTTATTTAATTGTCCTGTGGTTAGAGACTTTTTTTTTTTTTTTGTCTGGCTCTTTTGCCCAGGCTGGAGTGCCGTGGTGCCTTCTCAGCTCACTGCAACCTCCATCTCCTGGGTTTAAACAATTCTTCTGCCTCAGCCTCCCGAGTATCTGAGATTACAGGCCTGTGCCACTATACCCAGCTAATTTTTGTATTTTTAGTAGAGAGGAGGTTTCACCTTGTTGGCCAGGCTGGTCTCAAACTCCTGACCTTAAGTGATCCACCTGCCTCGGCCTCCCAAAGTGCTGGGATTACAGGCGTAAGCCACCGTGCCTGGCCAGAACATACTTTTTTTTTAAATACAACATTGATCTTTTTACTGTATTAAAACATGTTTTCGAGTCAAACTACAAGTGTTTTGTTGATTGTTTCGTATGCACACAAATTCAATGTATATTTAGCTGCTACTGGGTGTAGTGTTTTCTAAATATCCACTAGCTAAAAGGAAATAACTCAAAACCCAGCCCTTGTGACAGCACACCAGTCTGGTAGACAGGCCGCTGTGCACATCCTATGGCCTGTGCCATCCGTTTGCATCCTGCCCATTTGTCTCAAAAGAGCCAACAGCTTTGATGTCAGGCAGATCTGGTCCTGACATCCTTGTTCCTGGGCTCTGTGGCCTGAAGCAAGTCACTTACCCTTCGAGCCTTGGCTCCTATGACATACCAACTTATAGGTGACAGCCACGGGTTACATCTGCCTGTGATGGGCTAAAGAAACAGAGAGGAGGCGGTGGGTACTGCCACAGTGCTCAGACCCCCCGGGTGCCTTCCGGGAGGTCCAACTGCAAAGCCCCACCCTGGGCTGGGTGTACAGTGTGCCCTGGCCCTCTGGCTGCTGACACCTCTCTAGGGAAGGAAGCCATAACCCCTCTTGCCATCTGTTCCCTTCCAGGGCGAGCTTGGATTGCCTGGTGCCCCAGGAATCGATGGAGAGAAGGTCTCTGAGCCTTTCATTTCCTTGGTGATGCCAGCGCCTGGTATTGGGGTGTGTGTGTGTGTGTGTGTGTGTGTGTGTGTGTATGTGTACATGCAAGCACACATGCATGTGTGCACAGAGTTAGAGAAAGACCACATGTGAGAGAGGCCAAAATCATGGATTCTCACACCAGGCTGCCTGTGTGCAAACCCTGGTCTGCCCTCAGACCCTGGGCAAGCTGCTCACTCTCTGGCAGGGCTGGGTAACCCCGTGTATGGAGAACACGCAGTGCAGTGCTTGGCATATAGTGGAAAGCCACGGATGCTAAGAGCATCACTGACACCATAGGTATTACCGAAGTTCGAGAGAGAGGCAGACAGACTCTGTGTGTGTGTGTGTGTGTGTGTGTGTGTGTGTGATATCCTACACAGACGTGAGCATATTCATAGGGTCACTTGGTATATTCAAGGGCAAGCCTTTCCCACTGGGCCCGTAGTGTGTGTCTCATCCTGGACGTCATGTCATTGGTTGAGTGGAGGGATTCGGTGGCTGGATGAGTTTGTGGGGGTGGGGGGGGTCCCACCACTAGCTTCTAAGATGTGAGCACAGACCTGGCCCCACGAGCACACCCAGAGAGGCAGCTCCAGGCTCACATGCTCCACGCATCTGCCCCTGGCCCCTGCCTTGAGGTGTCCACACCCAGATGCAATGAGGCAGGATTGGCATCGCCCCCACCCCTGCCCACTGCATTCAGCTGAGGCTCTCAGCCACCGTGGCTGCAGGTGGAGACCCACCAAGAGGCAGTGGGGACCTACCATGGATTAAGCTCTGGGGACCCGCTAGGGTGGGGAAAGAGAGAGGCCCTGCTGAGCCCCATGAATCCCTTGTTTCTGTGGCTTTCAGGGTCCCAAAGGACAGAAAGGAGACCCAGGAGAGCCAGGGCCAACTGGACTCAAAGGGAAAGCAGGCGAGATGGGCTTGTCTGGCCTCCCGGTATGTGACTGGGCTAGGTCACACATTATGCCTCCTGTGTGGGAGCCGAGGCGACTGCGTGGCCCCTGTGCTGTGGGGGGGCCAGGGGCATCCAACAGTCCTTGCAGTCTCAGTGCCCAGCCTGCTGGGGACACTCTAGACTCTAGGCCAGCGCTGCCCTCCTCTCTCCAGGTATCTACTTCCTTGTCTGGAAGGCTTTCCACCTGGCTCAGATGGCAGGTAGAATCGGGAGGTGTGACCTTGCAAGCGCATCGACCAGATGGTTATACCACTGTTCTCTGACCTAAGCTGCCCAAATTTGCATTCAGCTCCATCCTAGCTGACTTTGGAACCCTGGGCAAGCAACCTAACCTCCTGGGGCCTTGGTTTCCTCACCTCCAACGTGGGGGTGATCTTACCCCTCCCTCAAGGGCATGCGTGGCTGGGCTGACAGTGGTGGTTGGCACACAGCAATACCCACTGTTGTGGTCCTCATCATTTTTATTGTTGCTTTTGTGGCCCGACTGGAAGAGCCGCCAGGTGTAACACCACCACTGGGACACATTCACTGTCCATCCCTGATGATCGCTGGGCTAGACGGGTGCTGGGGTTTGACCCGGGGTCTTTGCTTCAGAGCCCCTGGTTGCTTCCTGCACCCCAGGAAAACAATCCGCGCGGCTGCTCATGTGCTCTCTAAAGCCCACGCTGCTCACCACCCAGGGCCTGGTACACGGATCTAAGGAAAACTTTTTTCAGTTGCAACAGCTAACTTAGGACTACTGCCAGAAGCCACATGGGGGCAGGAAGGGAGGTCGCTAAGCACCATGGGTGGTGACGCAGGTGCTGGACACAAAGGACTCACAAGCCATGCCATCCTGCAGGGTGCCGACGGCCTCAAGGGGGAGAAAGGGGAGTCAGCGTCTGACAGCCTACAGGAGAGCCTGGTAAGGGTGTGCAGGGGCCAGGGCTTCCCCCAGCACCCAGTCCAGGCTGGGTGGGGACCCTGAGCCTTGGGACAAAAAGGCTACCTGGCCTGAGCAAACCCAGGGCAGTAGGGGAGGAAGAGTAACGGGAGAAAGGCTCCTCTGAGAACCCACAGGCCAACTCCCATCCACTCACCAGGCTGTGCCCTCTGGGGGCAGGAAGGAGACTCTCCAGCAGTGTGCAGTGAGCTTGCGTGCGGGCGGGTGAGGGTGACAGGTGGGGGGTGACTAACCTGTCTCTCACCCTCCCTAGGCGCAGCTCATAGTGGAGCCGGGGCCCCCTGGCCCCCCTGGCCCCCCAGGCCCCATGGTAAGGACGGTTTGTTTTGGTTTGGCTTGAAGTAGCCAGGAAACCAAGAGGCGGGGTGGGGGCTAGGTCCTGGAGCCATGACCCGGGAGAGAGCAGGCTTCTTCATTCAGGGAGGGGCACATGGGCAGAGGGCAGAGCCCAGGACGGGGCCCCAGGGGCCAGCAAGTGGCCACTGCGAGAGGGTCCGGAGCCAGCCTTCTCATCTGCTTCCTCTTCCTGCAGGGTCTCCAGGGAATCCAGGGTCCCAAGGTGAGTGGACGCAGATTTCCCCACTGGCCTCAGACTCACCGCCCAGGCGGTTTCCAAGAACCTCACCAAAGTGAAGGGCCTGTCCCTGAGTCTTCCCAGCACCTGAACATCCCAAGTCCCCAGGGCGTAACCCCCCAATGCCCCCGCTCCACACCTGGGGCTCTCTCCTCCACTTTCTCCCTCTGCCTGGGACCCCAGTCTGTCCCTCTTTCCTTCTCAGGTCCACCACCCACTGTTTCTCCTGCTTGTCCCCTTCTCCTTTCGCTGTGCCTCCCAGTTCCTTGCACTGAGGAAGGAACCCCGCCTCTCCCCATCCCAGCCTGCCCCACACGCATCTGTCTCTCCACTGCCACAGGCTGAGCACGAAGTCCTGGGCTTGGTGTATATTACATAACAGTGTGTTCCCTTCTCTTACACTAAATCTTCGCGTGTGGCCTGCCCACATGCCCTGCCCCAGGGAGGCAGACACAGAATGGGGGGCCATCTGGTCTCACTCCTTGTCACACCACCCCCCACCCCCAGGGTGAGCACATCTCTGCTTCCCCAGCTCAGAGGCCAGATGTGGGATTCAGAGTCATGGAATCCCAGGCCTGAGCATGCGGCCCCACCAGATACACTGCTTCTGGTTCTGTTTTCTCTTAAGGCCTCCTCAGTTCATGTTTCAAAGAGGCAGCTGCTGTCAGGGATAGGGTCCAAGGCTTGCTGCAGAGGCCTGACGGGGACCCCACTCTGCTGCCTTCTGCTGCGTGGCTGGGCCCGTCCCCGCCCATCTCTGCACCTGCTTTCCTCATCTGTGGAATGGGTGTGATCATGATCACCGTCCATGCATGGCCAGAGCTCTTCCTGATTATGCTCACTGGGGGGTAAGCCAGGGTCAGGCCTGGCGGAACCTGGATTTGCTCCTCTGCCCACACCCCAGCTCCCACACAGTCTCCAAACTTGCCTGTCCTACTCTCTGTCTGACCTCTTCCTCCTAACTGATTTCCCTCCTTTGCCTCCAGGGCTCGGATGGAGCAAAGGGAGAGAAGGGCGCGTCGGGTGAGAGAGGCCCCAGCGGCCTGCCTGTGAGTGTCACGAGCCCTGTTTGTCCCGAAGGTGTTAATTCCTGTAACCAGCATGCCTCTTGACTCATTCCTTTTCTATCCAGGGGCCAGTCGGCCCACCGGGCCTTATTGGGCTGCCAGGAACCAAAGGAGAGAAGGTAACTGCCTTATTCGGAACTCCCTCTCCAACTATGGCCACATGGTCATGGTGTCGCTCAGCCCTGGGAGCCCAAACCTGTACCTCACTGGGTCCCTGCACTTCACAGGGCCACAGTTTACACTCTGTGGATGCCAGGTCTATCCTGGCCTCTGTCTATGCCTGCACGGTTGGTAGGTCTCCTTGCCTGCCTCTCTGTGGCCAGACCTGGCATCCACAAGGCTGGACTTCCAAGCAGCTGTGTTCCCAGCACCCCTCCCTAACCCCTGTCACCCACTCTGTGTCTCTTCTCAGGGCAGACCCGGGGAGCCAGGACTAGATGTAAGTGACTCATCATTTGCTTTGAGTAATCGGGTCCCTCTTGTGTGTATCTTCTGCCCTCATGTAGTAGTAACCTGATCTGGCTACTCAGGTGTGACCCCCCCCTTCCCCAGGGCTGGGACTGCAACTGACTGGTTCCCCCTGTGTCCTCATTGGCAAATCTAGTGCACAACCCAGAGTAGGTGTTTTTATGGATAGATGAATGGATCGTTGATGAGTGGACAATGGATGGATACATCGGTAGACGGATGATGGAGGATGATGGATTGATAGATGCATAATGCATGCAGGATGGATGGACGGATAAATAGATGGACAGATGATGGATGAGTGGATGACAGATAAATGGATGGTGGGTGGCTGGATGATAAACAGATGATGGATATGTGGTTGGATGGATAATGGAAGCAAGATGAATGATGGATGGAGGATGAATCCATTCAATCCTCCATCCATGCATCCATCAATCAATCCATCCATATCCATTATGGATGGATGTTTGGATAGATAATGGATGGATAGATGTTGGAGGATGAGTGGATGGATGGATGGATGGATAGATGGAGGGATGGATGGATGATGCATTGTAGCAAGGAAGTGAAGAGAGGAGTGAAGAGCCTGTTGCAATATCCTGGTGAGAGATCATGAGGCTTTAGCTAGAGCAGTAATTTGAGAAGAAGAGGAAGGGAAGTCTTAGCCCAGGTTGATTATATCAAGTCTGTTCTGGTAGCATACATATTAAACAGTTTAAACTGGCTTAAAATGACTCATAACTGAAAAGTCTGGGGGTTCAACACGTGGATCCAGGGCTCAACTGTGTCGACACAACTCAGCCTTTCACCCTATTTTGTCTGCTTTCCCTGTGGAAATCAATTTCTACGTGGTGGTGAGGTAAAGCCAGCAGCTCCACACCAGCATCCTCCCAGGCCCAAACCAAGAAGAAAGAAAATTTGCCTCACTCCAGTGTTCTACAGGAAGGCTCATGGGCTCTCATGGGTCCCAGTTAGGTTAAGGCTGAACCGTCACTTGACCATAGGAATGCAGTGCCCTGATGAGTCAGATCATGGACTGGGGTGAAGTCAATGGGTTGTGAGAAGGGAGGTTCTCAGGAAGAGCAGGTAGCTATTTTGAGGGACATAGGACAGATGCAGGGCTGCAAGGACTCTGGTGTCCACCCTAGACTTTAAAAAGAGAACATTACCTGGGAGAGCAACTGTGGACGAGGGAAAGGAAGAGCTGTAGCCTGGGTTTCTGACTGGGAGGGCTGGCCTCCGTCAATGCGAAGGGAGAGAACAATGCTGAACCCACTGCAGGTTCTGGGGCCAGTTGGGGGTGGAGTTAAAGAGACTCCATGCCACCATGAATGTGGTCACAGCTGCATTCTAGGAGGCCTGGTGCTCAGGGTAGCATCTCAAAACCATGCCCACCTGCTCTACCTGGCAAACCCCAAGCCCCTCCTCAACTCCACCAGGCTCAACTGTAATGGAGACTGCACGCAGAAGCTCCCTCTGACCCCCACCTGGAATAGAACAGCCCTTCCTCCCAGAACCCCACCCCACCATCTCACACCCCTGTCACTGGGCATTGACTGTCATCAGCACTCTGTTGCCTCCCCGTTACACATGAACAAGGAAACATGTCCAATCCAATTCTCTTTTTTTATTTTTTAACTTTGTTTGTTTCTTTGTTTTTTGAAATGGAGTCTCGCTTCTGTCCCCTAGGCCAGAGGCAGTGGCGCAATCTCGGCTCACTGTAACCTCCACCTCTCGGGTTCAGGTGATACTCCTGCCTCAGCCTTCTGAGTAGCTGGGATTATAGGTGCCAGCCACCAAGCCTGGCTAATTTCTGTCCTTTTAGTAGAGCCAGGGTTTCACCATATTGGCCAGGCTGGTCTTGAACTCCTGACCTCAAGTAATCTGCCTCGGCCTCCCAAAGTGCTGGGATTACAGGTGTGAGCCACCATGCCCAGCCATAACAAATCCAATTCTCTGTCCCCAGTGTCCAGCCAGTCCAGCTCCTAGTAGATGTTTAGCCACATGGGATGGATGGATGGACAGATAGATGAATGGACAGATGGGTGTACAGGAAGCTGAGCCTGGAGCACAGGACAGAGGTCACCATTTCTCATTCCCTCAAAGACAGTGACATAACTTCCATGGTTTCTGGGGCCTCTGTCGCCAGCAAGCCTAGACCGGGGCCAGCCGCATCTGTGATGTGAGAGACCCCTTGCCAGCAGCTCTGCCAGACTGTTGGTGTCCAGGGACTACTTTGGAGCAAGCCCAGCTGGCATCCTAAATACATGCTCTTCCTACATCGGCCTTGTACCTGGCAGTGTATCACCTACAGCTGGGGTCGGGCCAGCGTGTGCCACAAACATGCACGGGGAGGTGGGTGGGAAGTCGGCATGTGGATGGGAGAGGAACGGAGACGAGCAGATAACGGAGGGGCAAACCTCCAGCCTCATTTTCAGATTTAGCCTCTAATCCTTTTGTCAGGGTTTCCCTGGACCTCGAGGAGAGAAAGGTGATCGGAGTGAACGTGGAGAGAAGGTAAGGGCAGCTGGACGGGAGCTAGGGCAGGAGGAAAGGGGGAAGGAGGCAGGTAGGAATGGAAGCCCAGGGGAATCAGGCAGCGAGAAGCCGGCCAGGCAGGTGGGCGGGAGGCCGGGGGAGGCTGGCCGCAGGTGCCTCTCTCGGAGAGATGTTGGAGGTACCTGAGCCTGGCAGCTGTGGCCAATACCACCATCTTCCCACCTGCACAGGGAGAGCGAGGAGTCCCCGGCCGGAAAGGAGTGAAGGGCCAGAAAGGCGAGCCGGGACCGCCAGGCTTGGACCAGCCGTGTCCTGTGGTAGGTGTTGGAGCAGGGCTCCACGCTAGGTCCTTTTGGTCTCCAGCCAGGGTCAGACCAACATCTTCCCTGTCCTCAGAGCTCAGTTGCAAGTCCCAGAGGCCCCACTGGTCACGTACCAGCCTTCCTCACTCTCAGGAATATTGCTGCTGACCGCCCCCAACCGTGGGCATGGCTCGGGGAACCCAGCCCCTCTGTAGAGATGGAGGCCTGGCCCCTCATTGTTCAGCCCCAAGACAGGCCTGGCTTGAGTCAAACCCACTTGGGCTGGAGGTCCACAGGGGCCAGACCATGAGCAGAAGGGCTTTACCTGGAGTCATCAGTACCATCAGCAGTGCCCTGGAGAGGGAAGCGAAGTCAGCACGGGCACGCAGCTGGGGGCGGGGCAGTGAGTGTCCAGCCCCATCGCCCTGGCCACCTGGGGCCACAGTCAGGGTCTGACTGCTGCTGGGCTGGAAGTCAAGCTGGGCTGAAACTCAGCTTCCCCAGCATAGAGGGTGGGACCACTCTGACCTCTCTGGCTGGCTGCCCAGAAGAGTCTCTCTGGGCAGGGGCAGCGCCTCCCTCTTCCCCGCATCCCCTCTGCCTGCCCCCATACCCTTCCTTTACCTCCTTCCCTGCTCTCTCAGTGGCCCTCGGGAGCCCACCAGCCCCAGTACCCAGTGCATGAAAGAACTACAATTCAAAAGTCAACTCCTTTTATTTCTTTTTAAAGACAGACTCTTACTCTGTCGCCCAGGCTGGAGGGCAGTGGTGCAGTCACAGCTCACTGCGGCCTCGATCTCCCAGGCTCAAGTGATCCTCCTGCCTCAGCCTCCCCAGTAGCCAAAACTACAGGAATGCATTACCATGCCCCGCTAATTTTTAATTTTTGTAGAGATGGGGTCTCGCGATGTTGCCCAGGCTCGTCTTGAACTCCTGGGCTCAAGTGATTATCCCACCTTGGCCTCCCAGAGTGCTGGGATGACAGGTGTGAGCCACCATGGCCTTTCTAGAAAGCGGGTAGGGTTTACATGTTGTACTCTTTCAGTGGAGCTCAGAAAAGATAGGAAAAACCAAACAGCTGGGTTTCCATACCAAAACTGGCCAGATATTCCTACCTGGCTACGCAGGTATTCATACCCTGGTCATGGGAATAGGGTGGGGACCTTCCTAGGGGATGCAGGCCAGCCTCCACCTCTAGTGGCACCAGAGCTAGACCACCTCCCAGACCTTTGGGCTCTGTTCCTCAGTGTCCCCATCCTGCAGTAGGGGGTACCCCTGCCCCCAGACAGTTTTGAGAAGTCAGTGAGTAAAGGACTTACAGAGTGAAGTCAGAGCGCAGGAAGGGCGGGGGCAGCAGGGACAGGGTGACTCAGCCCCACAGCTCCAGACCGTGGCCCGGGACTCCCCTCCAAGTCAGTAAGCCCTTGTCTCCTTTGAAACAGGAGAATCCCACCTGCGGAAGCCGGAGAGGGGCGCCAGGCTGGCGGGGCCCTTCGAGGGGCAGTGGGCCATGCCCTGCGGTAGGCAGTCTGGCCTGCTGTGTGCCGTGTGCCGTGTGCTGGGTGGGCCTTCTGGGCAGCTGGGGCCCTGGGCTCTGCCCTGGCCCTTCCTTTCCAGTCTGCCCTCCTCCCTGCCTTCCCTTTGGTCCCTAGCCTGGTCCCCTGGTGTACTCATGGGAATGTTCCAGTGAAGCCTGTGCCAGTGCTTTGGAACAGAATGACATGTTTTGTGCCCTAGCGCCCCCAGGGGTGCCAAGCTGATGAGTCAGTCTTTGTTCCTCTCCAGTTTCCCCACCCTCCAGGCTGCCTGAGGAAACCCAGACCCTGCTTATGTCTGGCTGCTGAGTGGGTACCACAGGTGCCGCTAGACAGCCCCAGCCCCACGCTCAGCCCCAACCCCCAACAACCTGAGCCTGCCCCGTCCAGGGCCGATACAGGCTGGAGCAGGATGCCAACTCCTGGGCCATCCTCAAAACCCTCCAGAAGACATTCCTGCCCGAGGCCTGAAAGTTCACAGGCCCCAGGAGGGGAGCCAGAGTCACTGTCACATCAGGCAGGAGGCCACACAGCTCTCGGCAGGACCCAGGCCAGCCCGTGCGTGCCTGGTACAACGCCCATCCCTTCGGTTTCTGCCCGCTGCACAGTGGTCTCCACAAAGCACAGAGGGAACACACTCAGGACAAGCTCAGTGAGAGGCCATCATGTCTCCATGACCCCACTACCTAGGTGGACAGAGGGGTCATTGTGGCCCTGCCTCAGTGGGCCCCCAGCAGCCTCACATGGCAGCTCCCTGGCCCGCACCTCCCTACAGACCAGGGAGGGTATGTGGGGTATAGAGGAGCTCCTTAGGCCCCATCCCCGTCACTGAAACTTTCTTCTTTTCTAGGGCCCGGACGGGCTGCCTGTGCCTGGCTGCTGGCATAAGGTACCTTGCAGGGAAGAGCCTCCAGGGCAGGCTCAGGGGAGGCGGGGGAGGCAGGGGAGGGTAAGGGGATGGGGAGGACCCTGGAGCCTGGGTGCTGTCACTCAAACCTCTGGGCGTCTACAGCTTACCCCACAGTGACCGAATAGCCAGCTTTGCCATCGTGACCCTGGTTTTGACTCTCCCAGCTTGCAGCGGAGGTGTGGGACTATCGTCCTGGCTGATGGTGTATACCCCACCCTGTTGGTCACATGGTCACACTTGGCCAAGGCAAAGCCATCAGTGCCTCCTGGGATATTGTCCAAACTGGCCCACTGAGAGGGAGTGGGGGAGGCATGGGAAAAGAGAAGGGGTCCGCAGCTGTTCCTGAGGAAACCAGCAGGAAAGGGGTCGCCGGCGTGGGTGGCCTGGATGGGGGCGGGGCCTCTCGGCTCCTCATCACCTTCAGTCCCTTCCTCCCTTTCCAGTGACCCTCAGGCCCAGCTCACACCTGTACAGATCCGTGTGGACATTTTTAATTTTTGTAAAAACAAAACAGTAATATATTGATCTTTTCTCGTGGAACGCACTACCTGTGGCATGTTAACATTAGAGACTATGCTCCGCCAGCCCCGGAGCCTTCGGCCTGTGAAGTTGCAGGGAAGTGGACAGTGCAGACCAGGGAGATGTGTACCTGAGGGGCTCCCGCGGGCCTGGGCGTTCCCGGGAAGGAGATAAAGGCAGAAGCACCTGGCCAGGGCGAGGCTGGAAAGATGCTAGGCTGGGCCTTCACGGAGAGACTCTCAGCTGTGGTACTGCCCTGCAAGAACCTGCCCCCCAAAACCCTGGATTCCCCAGGACACCCCCTATCCAAGAAGGCCCAGGGCTGGGATCACGGCTGCTGCTGCTGCCACCAGCCTTACCAGTGTCCAAACTCAGCCACAACCAGCTGCCTCTACAGTTGGACAAGACTTGGCCCCTGGACAAGACTCACCTGGAACTTGCAGCTGAACCCACAGAGCAGTGAGTGGAAATCCCCCAAGAGGGTCTAGCTGCCACCACATTTGGTAGGCTCCAGGAGGCCGGCCTGCCGTGAGAATACATGTCCTCTGGCCAGAAGTAGTGGCCAAGCTCTGTGATAGCTGTGATGTGGACCCGGCTCCAGGGAGCTAGCTGAGTGCCGGGGATGGAGGGGCCCAGGCGGGACTGATTGCTACTTCCTGTCTCTGTTTTCATATCACCCAGAGAGGGACAAGATGGGACATGGCAGTCCTCCCACTCAGAGTCTGAGTCTCACTGATCCCCAGTCTCCTACCCAGAACTGTGGCCAAAAATGACTCTACGTGGGCTGTGCAGGCAAAGCAAACCTCAGGGCTGGTTTCCAGCTGGCCTGAGCAGGGGGCCTGCCACCAGACCCACCCACGCTCTGACAAGAAGCTTTTTCCCTTCCAGCAAGTGTTCCCAGCAACCAGCTCCATCCTGGCTGCTCGCCTTCCATTTCCATGTAGATGGAGATCACTGTGTGTAATAAACCACAAGTGTGTGTCTGGGTGAGCCTGTCCTTGCGGACTACCCCTGGGCACCTCTGGCTGCGGATTCCTGGCTATTGCTGGGTGGGGAAGGAAAAGGGGACTCTCCCTGAGTCAGGGCCATCCGAGAAACAGAGAAGGAGGTTCAGGGTCAGGGCAAAGATGGGATTTGGAGTTCAGAAGACACAGATTCACAGCCTGGCCCTGCTACACACCAACGGAGTCCTCTGGCGAGTCTCTAACTGTCAAACTGAGCCCGTGTGGTCCTCTATTGCAGTTACCAGACTACTGCACAACAAATCTCTCCAAAACTTGTTGCCTTAAAACAATGGTCATTTTGGCCAGACACAGTGGCTTGTGCTTGTAATCCCAGTACTTTGGGAAGGCAAGGTGAGAGGATCACTTGAGCCCAGGAGTTTGAGACCAGGCTGGCAGCATAGGAAGACTCCATCTCTACCAAAACTAAAGAATGTATCACCACAGGCATGGTGATACATCCCTGTGGTCCTAAGTGCTGGGCAGGCTGAAGCAGGAGGACCACTTGAGCCCAGAAGTTCAAGATCAGCCTGAGCAACACAGAGAAATTCCTCTCTTAAAAAAAAATAGGCCGGGTGCGGTGGCTCACGCCTGTAATCCCAGCACTTTGGGAGGCCGAGGCGGGCGGATCACGAGGTCAAGAGATCGAGACCATCCTGGTCAACATGGTGAAACCCCGTCTCTACTAAAAATACAAAACATTAGCTGGGCATGGCGGCGCGTACCTGTAATCCCAGCTACTCAGGAGGCTGAGGCAGGAGAACTGCCTGAACCCAGGAGGCGGAGGTTGCGGTGAGCCGAGATCGCGCCATTGCACTCCAGCCTGGGTAACGAGAGCGAAACTCCGTCTCAAAAAAAAATAATAATAATAATAATAATAATAATAATAACTTCTATTTCTTTCGTATAGCCTAGGGTTAATGGGCTCAGTGTGGGTGCTTCTCACCCAAACTCTCCCGTGTGGTGGTTGCTACTGGTCCTATAGCCAGGACTTAGATGGCAAATACCTATTTGTGGCCTCTCCACTTGACCCAGGCTCCCTCCCACATGGTGGCTGGATTCTAAAAGTGACTGTCCCAGGTCAGCCGGATAGAAGCTGTGTCACCTTTTAGGGCCAAGTCTCAGAAGTCATGTGCTGTCACTTTCTGAAAGAGTGGAGGGAGGAGAGATAAACCCCACCTCTCCATGGGAAAGTATCAACATCATATTTCAAGGAGAAAATGTGGAATCATCAATCTTGCAGCCATCTGAAAAAATGCAAACCCCACCTCAACTGTGAAATGAGAGGGCACTATTCACCACTCGACTGTGGTTCCCTGAGGATCCAGTGCACAGAGTATGCGAAGAATGTAGGGCGAGTCCCTTACCCACAAGCACCCTCAATTTTCCTCCCTCTTCCTGACTCTAAGACCGAGCAAGGGCCACAGTCCTGCAGAGTGTTCCCACTTCTCTCATCACAGCTGGTCCCTATTACAGCCCTAAGAGAGGGACCCTCTTACAGATGACAAAACTAAGCACATCCAGGGCGGCCTAGACAAGATGGGCCTGCAGTGATGGTGTCTCTGATGGTGGTGGTGCATTACGCTGATGGTGTCTGAGCGTCCAAGGACTGAGGCCTAAGGAGGGCCACAGTATGGATGGTCCCCCTCAGACTTCTGTGACATGGCCTCCTTGCTAAGCAGAAGAGGCTCAGCCATACACTGGCTACGGAGGAGGGGTATGTCCAGTCCCCTTCTCTGTTTCCCTAGGGAACTGGCAGTAAGTGGCAGGCCACATCACTCAGACAGTTGTCTGGGTCAACAGGGAAGCCAGTCATAGGAAAGCTGTGGTGTTTCTCTTCTGTGATGACTGGTGTCACTGGGTGTCCATACCTCCTCTGGAGTTCCAGCATAACCTCACAATCTACTGCACGTTACACTTCACAGTTCCCTCCTCCCTCCATCCAGGAACCCCACTTGATCCCCTCACCAGCCCTGGAAAGCCCAGGGCTTGTGTGATAGGTGTCACTATTTCCATTTTACATAGGGGAGAACTGAGGCTCAGAGAGGGTAGTCACCTGCCCAGGGATGCACAGCCAGGACATAGTGGCAGGCTTGGGAGAGCATCGGTTGTCTTCTACTTTGTCTTTCCAAAACTTGCCTGGCAGAGCATGGAATCTGATAGGCAGTTCCATGATGCTAGGTGGTTGGCAGGTAGATCCTCCTGGGGGTAGAATGTCTTCCCTTCTCTTACCCAGTCTTCTGAGGGGGTCTCTCCTGCTCCTTTGGGCAGGACGAGGCATTCTTGGCCCACTGCTGCCCCCTTGCGGTGTCATACCTTGTATCCTAATACCTGCAAACTTGTCAACTGCAAGCTTCAAAATTTAGAGTCTGCTGAGTCCTCAAAGCACCCAGGGTTGAGCACAGAGACAGCAGAGGAATCAATGATTTGTTCAAGGTTCCAGCGGAAACACTGGGGAGCATCCTGCTTCACAGCTGAGTCTCAAGGACTGGGGGGGCCTCAGGTCTCCTGCCAAGAAAGGCAGTGCAGCCACAAAGTACCCTTCTCTGGAAAAGAGAGAAGTATATTTACTGACCTCTGCTGCGTGCCATGACAGCTAAACGAACCACAAGGATAACTATCCCTTTTTATAGATGAATCTGAAGTGGACTTACCCAGGTCTCTTTCCTCCTGGTCCCTAGGAGACCACTGGAAATACAGGGGATGCTCTTGGTTATCACAATGATTTGGGGACACCCTGGCATTCGGGAGGTAGGCCCAGGGATAGTGAACACCTAAAATGCATAGGCCAGTCCTACCCAATGACAAATCATCTCAACAAGAATCCCAGTGCTACCCCTGTTCAGAAACACCATGCCCTGTGTTCAAATCCTGGCTCAGCCACTTCCATCTCCTATCATCTTGGTCTCCAAAGTTGCTTCAAAGGCCAGGCGTGAGATAAAAGACAGAGCAGTGCTTAGCACAGGACTAGAGACAAGAAGTGGACTTTTTTGAGCAGGAAGAAGGTGAGGCTTCCTGGTGTTGTTCCTGGCCGTGCTATAAGATATTCCTGGCCCAGGAAATGACTCAGCCTGGTCTGACCTCAACTATATTACCTTTTTTTTTTTTTTTTTTTTTTTTTGGAGACAGAATCCCACTCTGTTGCTCAGGCTGGAGTGCAGTGGTGCGATCTCGGCTCATTGCAATCTCTGACTCCCATGTTCAAGTGATTCTCTTGTCTCAGCCTCCTGAGCAGCTGGAATTACAGGTGCCTGCCACCATGCCCGGCTAATTGTTTTATAGTTTTAGTAGAGACGGGCTTTCACCATGTTGGCCAAGCTGGTCTCGAACTCCTGATCTCAGGTGATCCACTCACCTTGGCCTCCCAAAGTGCTGGGATTACAGGCATAAGCCACCGCACCCGGCCTATATCACCTCTTGACCAAGGAGCAGGTGAAATGTTAGCTGGGCCCAGCTACAGCCTTCTCACCCTCTGCCTCAAAGCAGGAAAAGCCCCTGAGCCAATCTGACTCCTCTGAGCTGCCATGGGGCCACAGTTGTGGCTGGAGTTTGAGCTGCAAGACAGGGCTGAAAAGTGGGCCTCAGATAGGACACACACACACAGCCGGAACTGCAGGGCATGGAAGTATCATAGCTCTCTCTACTAGTGAGGAGAAACCAATCCACTAAGAAAATGGTGACCACGATCCCACTCACACACACACAGGGTCTGTGAGGACTTGATCCTTAGAAACCAAGTATAGGGTGGGCATGGTGGCATGCACCTGTAGTAGTAGGTACTTGGGAGGCTGAGATAGGAGGATCACATGAGCCCAAGGAGGTAGAGGCTGTAATGAGCTATGATCATGCCACTGCACTCCAGCCTGAGCAACAGAATGAGACCCTGTCTTAAAAAAAAAGACATACAGGCCACAAGCAGTTAACCTCTCAGTTAATTTGGGAATAATTTTTTCCCAAAAATCATGTAAAATATTAAATCCAGCTTTACAGTTAAAAATAAGAAACTGCATTCTGTTAGGGAAGATGAAAAAGTCCTGTTGCATGGATGGTGGTGATGGTCGCACAACGATGTGAATGTACTTTTGCCACTGAATTGTAGTCTTAAAAATGGTTAACATGGTAAACTTTGTTAGGTATATATTTTACCGCAATTAAAAAAAAACACACAACTCCAAATGTTCTTTAATAAATGCCTTAAGCATCTTACAATTGTATTGGGAAGAGAGGAAATCAGAAATGAGGGGAGTCAAGCAGCGGCCTGGGAATCATGAAGAGGTGGACAGGAGCAACCATCAGGAGCCTCCCCTGCCCCAGCTCGCAAGGGCTGCAGTCCCAGGCCCGTGTTCTCGGGTTCTTCAAGGCAGAAAGCCCCAGTGGCCCACCCCAGGAGGGGGCTTTTCTCATAGCCCAGCCCCTCGGGAGGCCTTTTCTTCTCACTCCCTGGGCTGGGAGTCAAAGAGATCTCAGTTGGAGTCCAGCCCCTGCAGCCTTGCTGCGTGTCTTACAACGAAGCCCTTTCGCTTTCTGGGCTTCAGGGTCACGGACGTGCACTACAGGGAGGCTCCCCGGCTCTCTTCTTGCCCAAACACTGCATGATTCTCTCAGCCTTAGATACAGCTCGCGTTCATCCGGCCTGGATTCCAACAGGAACCACGGTGCCCTGAAGGTCAGGCGCACGGGGATCTCCTTGGCCAGCCCCCGAAGGGACCCTGGGCTCTCCGCCTGCCCTTCCTGGGGCTGAGAAGGCCTGGGCCCTGCTTCTCCCGCTGCCGCGTACCGGGCCCCGGGTGGGGTGCCAGGTCTCAGAGTTCGTCCCATCTGATGCACGCGGAAGACGACTCAAAGACCGAGTCCGGCCCGAGCACGGCCTGCGACAGCTGCGAGCCTCCGCCGGGCGCCGGGGGCGGGGGCGGGGTGGTCCGGGACCGTCTCCCGGGAGGGAAGCCGCAGGGGCCTGCGGGGGGAGGCCCGCGGCGCGTCCCGG